GTGAAGGGAGGGCAGGGGTAAGGGGAAAAAATGAGAATCAAGACTTGTCATGTGGAGGTACAAGATCCCAACAATGAATGTAACTGTACTGTATCCCTAAAATGTACCAATAAACTCAATTAAAGCTGAAAAAAAGATACATATTATGTGATTACATTTATATGAACTACTAGAATAGCTAAGTCCTTACAAACAGATTGCTAATTGCCAGAGGCTGAGGGAAAGAGAGACAATGACTAATTACTTAATGTATATGGTGTTTCCTTTAGAGATAAGGCAAAAGTTTTGGAAGTAGGTAGAGGAAACGGTAGCATAACATTGTAACTATGATAAACATCAATGAATTGATCACTTCAAAATAGATCATTTGAAGTTATATGAATTTAATACCAATAATATAAAATCAACTGTCTCTCACTGCACAATAAATTGTCCAAAACTTGAGTAGAAGTCACCAGTCACATGTGATTTATGAACTAGCCTAGAAAGGTCCACACTATTATGTCCATAATAACCCACTGGTTGCACAGACTGACCTACTCAAGAACAGGAACTCTAGAAAGCAACGATCATTGGGAGTAATCTGGAAGGGTGGTTACTACACTCCTTCCTCCCGTATGTAAGGGATATGAATGAATGAATATGTCCCCCCTCGGTCAGCACGTTGCCAAAAGTGGAGTGCAGAAAGCAATTTGGGGAAGACATGATGGAAAGCTTGGGAAGCACTGCAAGTAAATGCATTTATGTGAGGCACTGGAGAGATTGAACCTTGGGCTGTGCATAAATTGCTTCATGTACAAGTGTTATGATGAAAAATTGTGTCCTGCAACAGTTTCCTGGGAACCCATTTTTTCTCTGAAGATTCTTCCAAGTGATTGCAATATTGACCCTAGAAACGTGACACCTAACGGAGATGTGAGGGAATTGGAGAAGAGTGTCTTACCTTGGCTTTGTCTTCTCATTTCCTCTCATAGATTACTACACAACAGCACACAGCTTCTAGCCATGCCACCCTACTACCCAAACCCAGTTTACTTGTCTACCTTCTCTGAAATGGAAGCTTTAACAAAGTTACCATTCTCAGAGGCCAAAATGTACTACAACAAATCTACAGTTATGATTTTATCATCTCATGTGTCAGATTTTCCAAGAGCCTATCTTAATCAGATTGCTGTCTGGCACATTATTGAAAGTTACCCAGATTAGTAAAACTTTACCAACTTCTTGACCTGAGTATAAATTCTATTTGGATGCATTCATGTTGGCAAGGGCTCCAAATGCCAATCACTTCTCACTAGAGAGAAAAATGTGCCAGTCTTGAAGTTTTTACTTAAATAAAAAATTGTATAATAAGAACACTAAGCTGTGTAAATGAAGATGTCAGCTGCCTAACAAGATGGGGTGCAATGAGGACTCTGATTGCCCATTTACCTGGAACAGAATTACGAAGAAATGGGAACATAAGCAAGTGAATACAGATATGAGTAGCTCAGGGGGTATAGCAAAATAGTGTTCGCTAGAATACTTGCTCAAAGGGGTCTTATGTGAGAAAATATTAAGGTGTAGGGTCCAAGAATTATAAAACAAAGGACATCCAGAAAGGGAAGGGATAATAAGAGCACAGAGGTAGCCAGGGGTGGTGGCACACACCTGTAATTCCAGCACTAGGGAGGCTGAGGCAGGAGGATCGCTGTGAGTTCGAGACCATCCTGGGCTACATGTGAGTTCCAGGTCAGTCCCAACTACATAGTGAGACCATGTCTCAAAAAACCAAAAAAAAAAAAAATGCACAGAGAATCTGGTTCAACTTGGTGACTTGAAAGACAGGATCCTGCATATATGTAAGACTGAAGAGGTAAAGAAAGCTGAGAGGGCTAAATCAGAGGAATAGAAGAGGTAACACAGAAAACAGATGGACAGAATCACAATTTAATATAAAAATGAATATAAAGTAACTGGCATACCATGAAGGCCAGATAGACTGTGTATCAAGTTCTGTGTAAAGAACTAATTTAAACATGATCAAACAAAGCAAGACAGAAGGAGAGATTGTAGAGGGTCATAAAGACATTACTGACTTACTGACTTATGTATTTGCTTAGAGATTAGGGAAGCAGTATGGATCTATAAAGCATGAACAGAGGCTCATTAATTAAAAAAATAATCCTCAAATTTGATACCCACTGAGTCCTGCAAAGGTGAAAAGATTAGTTAATCATCAGTGCTATTAAAGGGATGAATACAGATGTCTGGATTCCAGAATGAAACTAGACATGTAAAATTAAAATGAGGAAGTCTCTGGTTTACAGCAGGCAGTAAATACATTAAAGAGAAAATCAAAGTGTGTTTAACAAACACCAAGCAGGACAGGAAACCAGAGCAAGGTAGTCATGCTCTTGCCAAAGGTTCCAGGATGCAAGATAAAGAGTAAACAATTCTGCAGATGCCCAGCTTTCACATTCCTTGTTCTTCACAACTTTTGCTGAAATCCAGGGACAAAAATATTGATTTCTCTCTGCTAGTCTTATAATTGAACTTATAAATGAAGCTTATAAAGAGGGTCATTTTTTTCTTGTTAAGCATGTTATTCTGTTAAGATTTTGTCTTCTTCATTCATGTTGTCATTAAATATTTGAATCCATTATTTGCCATTAAATGCAAAAAAAAATTATTGCATACTATTTACCAGACGTTGATGCGTACGCCAGCAGATACAGAAATGAATAATATACTGTCAGTACAACCCACCCATGTAACATACTTTTGAGTACCTTCTCTGTATCAGGTACTGTTCTAAATGTCTGACAGAGCTATAGCAGAAAACAAAACACAAAAAGCAGGGCATGGTGGCACACGCCTGTAATCCCAGCACTCTGGAGGCCGAGACAGGAGGATCGCTGTGTGTTCGAGACCAGCCCGGGCTACACAGTGAGTTCCAGGTTAGTCTCAACTGCATAGTGAGACCCTGATTCAAAAAACCAAAAAGAAAAAAAAAGAAAGAAAACAAAAACACAAACTCTAACCTTGTGGAGTTTAGTGACATAAATATGTGGCTTAAGGGTGTGATCACAGAACTATAGAAATAAATACAAGAAAAATATAAAGAGCAAAAGGAGAAAAGTGTGATGTTTCCAAAGCAGAGATTACATTATGAAGGAAGTATAGAAAGAGGATGCTGATTAAATTGGGCTGGAAGAAGGGATAGGGAGAAGTGGGAAAAGGAGTCTTGAGGTTATGAACCACAGCATAGAATTGGGAAAGCATGGGCTACAGATAGAGTGGAGAGCCAGATTTGGTCAAGGTCACCGTATGCAAAGAGATACTGGAGCAAAATTCATTGCTTAAAATAGTTATCTGAGGAACAAGCTATAGAGGGAGATTTCGTTCCCCAGGACCCTTGCTCTTTTAATCTACAGCTTCAAGCTAATGAACTACAAAGGGCAGCACATTTAGGGAGAAAAGCATAGGGTTGGAGCGCTAGGAGTCCATAGACTTGAGTTCAAATTTCAACTCTGCACTAACGGATCTGCTTAGCGTAGAGTTATGAGCTGGACTTTGTAGTGCAGAATTAATCCACTGACAGCAAGTTCTCATCTATAGTATGGGTTGTCAATCACTGTTCCTCCAACCCACACCGCTGGTAATAAGCAGCAAATGAAATCAGGACTTGCACAGTGGTTTGTGAGCTCTAAGGTGCTTTATAAATATACATAATTACATCTACTTGGGATTTTCAGAAAATCACCATCCTCCCTGTTTTCTCTCCCTGAGATTTCTGCAGTTTTCATTAGAGGAGTTGTAATATATTTAAAGACCTCTTCTTTCTTTCAGATCTGACAGCTCTATTAAGGTCCCAGAAAATTCACTGAGATTCAAAATAAAAGGCTGTTATTTCTTCCCCATTGAGTCTACCTATTTAGAGACAAAACCCACTGTTTGTTAGTCTCTGAAATCTGTTCTCTTAGTTCATTTTATTTACTTATTTAGTCAGTGACGACTTGAGTATGTGGTCTGTGTCTGGTGTTTCTGTAGTACTGAGAACAATGGAGAGTTGAGTAAAATGTTCTGTGAACTCTGGGTGACCTTATGGTGTTCAAAGTCCATCTCTTTGATATTTGCGTGGTGAATTTTCACTAAGCACTGCACAGCCTGGACTGCCTGCTTTTCCTCTTGAACTTTCTAGTGTCCAGCCTCACCTGTGGAGTTTTTCTCTCAGAAGAAATATCTATTTGGTTCTTGCCTTATGGAACTGATCCTAGGTAGCTGGGCCACCACCAGTCAGAACTTGAGAAAAAAATAATACATGAAAAGGCTCGATTTACTGTATGTAGGCCATAGTTCCCTCATGTCTCAGGAGTTCCAGGGCTGGTGAAAAGGTCTTTTATGAGGGGGAAAAAAGCATCCTGTAGTGAGACAAAGCTACATAGTAGGAACAAAATACCAGGCTATCAGGAAAGTCAACTAGAGTCTGTGGATGTTTGAAGAGATGAAATGAGGTCAGCTAGGTAGGTGGGCAAAGGGCAGTATAGAGCCAACCGTGTGGTTTTGGGTTTGGATGAGAGTTGGACCAGATTGCTTTTCGATCAATCTAATCTTGTTCTATCTGTCTCTGAGGAGTTTATGAGGTTTCTTTCAACCACCCTCACAGGGGAAAAAAACTTTTCTGAAATTGAAAAGTATAAACAGTGAGCTTATTGATTGTGTTTCAGGGTCATTTGTGGGATCTAGTGTGGCAGTCCTTACCTTAGTGGCTAAGGTCATGGATATGCCAGCCTACAAAGACTCGTTCATATCCCATATTTGCCTTGGAACCTGTGGAGGTCCCAGGAGAAAAAGGAAATATACTCAGATGTAGTTAAAGAAAAGTGATAACTGAAATTACCCAAGTTTGCTTTTTGTTTCCTCCCCTGAATAGTATCTGGATCACGGTTAACTACTCCCAGAGCCCTTTATCAAAGGTCTGGGGCTATATAAACCAGATTGAGAAGACAGAAGAGACAGAGAAAACCCTATTATGAATGCAGGTGCACAAGGTCTGTGAGAGAGACAGCATGAACCACCTTGTAAGTACATTTTCTCATTTCAGATGTAGGTGCTTATGTTCTCAGAGTCAGAACAGCCATGGGGAAGTTCTTTTTCTCCTCCAGGGACTCTTCAAATTAAACCCAAACAGATTTTTTAAATCTTAAATCTTTTTTTGGCACATAATCTCTCTTTCAGCCAGTCTCTGTTTTGAAATATCTGAATGAAGGTCTTCTTCAAAGAACTAATAACTAACTTATTAAAGGACAAGCATCTTTGGGAGCTAGGTAAAAACTCATATTTTAGGTCCAACTTCTGGTGTTTATATTTACAAGTCATCAGCAAAGAGAAGCTCTGGATATATTTCATATATGGCACCAACTTGCATAGTCTGATAACACACTGTTGCCTTCCCATCTCACATATCTTGGTGGATAACCTCACCACACTATGCTTATTAGTCACCAAATAGCTGTTTCATTTTCTTTTGAAGATTTGCTTTGCCTTTTATAATTGGGACTGCATATGAAATATTGCATAGAGGTTCTGGGGATGGGGAAGAAGGGGAGCTCCTGTCAATTCGAGATGATGCAATGAGTAGTCTTGAGGTGGGCGAGCCTTAAGCATTCCAGATAATAATCCATTAGCTGTGAGGAAGGGTTCATGCTGAACTTTCTGACCTTTTTCTGCCCCCATAGATTATTTCTTTTATTCTCAAATTCCTGAAATTCTCTCAGCAGACAAAGCAGGGTACACTAAGAAATGATTAAGTATAACTACTTTAAGAGTTACACTATTTCAAAATAACATATAAAGTGGTATATGGCCTTTTATTCTCAGGCAAGGAGAGAAAAATTAATGGAAAGGAAATCAGGAGGATATCAGCTTTCAGAGGGGTGGTGGGTAGACAGAGAGCTTTGCAGGACCAACAAAGTGATTTGGAGTTTGGATGAAGAGCTGGATCAGAAGAGCTGCCCCAATGACTGGAAGCAGAGAAGAAGATAGAGAAAAGAAGACTGAGGACCTGGATTACAACTGTGATCGTGGTTTAGTCTAGGATAGTCCTGCCTTGCATATAGATCAAGTAGTAGTAGTGGGTGAGGTTGCCTGATATTTCGTCCAGTGATCAGCAGCAGAAGCAACAACGGAGATGTCCTTGAGAAATGGTAAACTTTCCTCCTGTGCAGTCAGCATGCCTCATTTAAACACACAGAACCACAGATTCCCGATATACAACAAGGCTCCAGGGGCAAGAGATGGTGAAGGTTACAAAGATGTAATAAAATATATAAGGTGAGTGTCTAAATTTTAAAACTGTATTACTGTAAAAAAATGAAATTTTCATCAATTTCCCTCAAAAGACTCCTGCTGGCTTTAAACATACTTAGCGCATTGTTCTCAAAGATGTAATAAAATATATAAGGTGAGTGTCTAAATTTTAAAACTGTATTACTGTAAAAAAAAATGAAATTTTCATCAATTTCCCTCAAAAGACTCCTTCTGGCTTTAAACATACTTAGCCCATTGTTCTTGCTGCTTTCTGAAGCCTTCTTCTGTGAGTGTCTTTCTTTGTACTGTCATGGCTGCCTCGATGTCCTGCATCAGTTCGAAATGCTTATTTTTCCTGGTCATTTTGAATTTGAGGAAGAAGCATAAGCTTCACAGTGCCAGACCCAGGGAATAAGGTGGATGAGGACACACCGTAATGTTTCTCCAAGGCTTCCATTGAATGGCACTCCACAGTAGCATTCACCGTATTTTTCATCACGCCTTGCAAAGACAAGAAAGAAGGCTTCCAGAACTGCTTCAGAAAGTGGCAAGGACAATGGGATAAGTGTGTTGGAAGGAGGAAAAGCATTTTGAGGGGATTTGATGGAAATGCACCTTTTACTTTAATATAAATTTTAATTTTAATATTTACCATACATTTAGATCACCTTGTATTAAAAGTTTTAAGAAGTCTCTGATCCTAGCGGGGCTTTAGGAGTCTAAACTCATCTGAGGATAAGGAAAAAAGTCCATTAATATTTGTTCCCATTCCAGGTTTCCATTTCCATCCTGGTGACCTTCCTGTCTCCATCTTTGGCTCTGATGGTGAGTGAGGCAGAGCATGTGCGATCTGTCTAGACCACTAGAATACCAAGCAGAAGTATTCCAGAGGTGATAAGCAAGGATGGCATCCCTCAAACTTCTTGAAGGCATCCCTAAACCTGCAATGTATGGACAAAGTACAAACTCTAAACTTTCAACTTTCTTCACTGTGGCTTGTTTTCCTCCAGAACATCAGTGACGCCCATCCTCTGGATAGATCTGTTGGGACTCAAGTCATCCATGTCAATGCCTTCCGAGGTATGGTCAGCATCCGAGACAACAACGTTTTCAGTGAATGGGATGGAATCTTGGACTACAAGAATGTAAGATGTGGGATATGGGATATGTTAATTACAATGCCAAATAAAGCTTTGCCTACTCCAAAATGTAGCTTAATCCTTTCCCAGAGAGCAAGGATACTATTTGCTTTGACCTTCTTTAGGTCTCACCCTCAGTGGAAATGCATGTCTATAGGTAAGGGGCCAAGCTTCCTTCCAGTCACAGTTACGTTTTCCTGAGCCAGAGAATGCAGGAAAATCTTCTCTTGTCCATGGGGTTCTCGCATCCTTTTGCATTCCTGACATATTCACTTCACATGGACACCAAAGGCCTCAGAATTAAAAAGCCCATTTAAAGAAACTCCATATGCCATGGAAGTCATTTTGTCTCCATTCCAGATCTCAATGTTTTCTTCTAAAGAAGGATGATGTATTTTCATTTCTTGAAATCTGGCTGCAGTTTGCCCATGTCTCTGAGTAGAAAGATGTACAGGTGCCTAGCTCTCTGATAGAAAGGCATTATGACCACAGAGACGTCAGTCAGCCTTGTGGGCCTCAGTCACTACATCTGTGAAACAGCACCAATTGCTGACTTGCCCACCTGGCAGCCCTTGAAGAATGAAATGGAGTAAAAGCCCACACTCCCCTCTCTTGCCCAGCGGCCCCTGCCAGCCAGTCCCTCCCAACCACGTCTATCATTTCTGGCCTTGCAGGATGCCTCAGGAAGGTACATTCATGCACAGCTCCTCTCCACTCCCACCTGTACCTACCACACTGTCTTCCGTGGACATCTCCCTTGTTCTTATCCCACTTATCCCACTCCTGACTTCCTCAGGGACATGCGTCCCGAGTTCCTTCTCAAGGGCTCACAGTCCTGATCTGTAATTCTCTTGGAAGCGTGCACTTTTCTTCAACAAAATATCCCACACCCGTCCACTAGGTGGAGCAGAAGAACTCAGAACCCTTTCTGGAGAGGAGTGGTTTCTGCAGGTGGGCCTTGTGCTCAGGCTGTGGGACACAGCTGCAAGAAACCCACTGCTCTGATCCAAGCTGAGAGAGACCAAATGACGGACTCAGGGCCACATGGAGGGAGTGGCCAGGGAAGGCCCCGCACTGCAATCTGAGTCTAGTGCTCCTGACCCAAAGAGCCAAAGAGCCACACATTCTAAGAGAACACTGTAACTTGCACAGTGCACTCGGGAGCAGCTAGCATCTCATTTCACCCTTATCCTCAGAATGGCTTCGTGGGAGGGAGGCTCTTTTCCTGCTGTACAGATGAAGCAACTGAAGGTGTGGTGGAGCCCTGAGGACTCTGATGGCTGCTGAGCAGCAGAATGAAAACTTAAATTCAGCCTTGTTGTTAGAGCTAAGATCCTACCCCTCCAGCCACACCTGTCTGTTAGAGATGGCATGATACCTGGGGAGTCCTGGGGAGTGAACTCTCTTCAGCAAGAGTATTGGAGACAATGACACGGAGCTCTGGGGAGCAACAGGTATACACTGCCGGTCCTGATGTTCACCTTTGCTTTGGTATCCAGGGTGACACACATCACAGTAGGAAGAAGGCAAGGTGCCTGTGCCTATGGAGAGTAGGTGCCCCTTAATATTGTGACCAACTGAATGATGGGTTTCTGTTGTGTTGCTTTAAGGCCCTCTTGGCAGCTAAGATATTTAGCAAGATGGCCTGTGTCCTGGCCAAGATGGACCAAACAGTCTTTCCAAGTTTGGACGACATTGGCAAGTCCTTAGTCAACCAGGTAAGTGAGACCAGCTCACTAAGCTGGTGTTTTCTAACTGGAGTCCAACATCTTAGCACAATGCTGTGCACACAGTGGGGGTGTGGCACTTAGTTCATGAGCATTCTTTTGTTTTTTCCTTGACACAGTCTCACTGTGTAGTCCACGCTGACCTTGAACTTGTTGTGTGGTACAGGCTAGCCTCCTGCCTCAGCCTCCCAAACACTGAGATTACAGACATGTGCCAATCCAGCCAATTCATGCCCATTCTTAAGGACTATGAAATCACACCATAATGCAAAGGACTCTGAGCCCAGCCAGTGGTACATTCAAAGCAAATCATACTTTGGTCAGTGAAAATTCCATGCAATGACTGCATTCTGAAGTATTTCTTAAGGCTTTGAGCCACACATCAGTGAGTGTAAGTTGTAGACTATAAATGCTAGAGTACATTCATACAGTATTTGTATCCCCTAGCCTTTTCTCCTTCCCTACACACCAGACACACACACACACACACACACACACACACACACACACATTTCTTTAATTGAAAATAAGCCTAGGACCTTGGAAGCTCTCTTTGTCAACCTCTTAGATGACAAAGGGAATTGTTGCTAACAATAGCTTAAAAACCAGCAGAAAGTCCTTGGCAAGTTGTTGAAATCTTCTGTCATTTGCTTAAATGACCTGCAGAGGACTTTTGGATAATACACATCTGTGGCAGAAGGCTTTGCTACTCTTGGGAAAAAAAATACAAATTATGCTTCAAGTCACATAAAAATAAAGCAATTTTTAAAGAGAAAAGTCTAATGTGCTCCCTTTGTCTGAATTAACAAGAAAACGCATAACATGAATTCAATAAATAATTCTTTAACTACTCTATACTCTCAGAATGAAAGGAAGAGACAGAAAAGTAACACAAAGGCAATTATAAATTTTCCTGGGGTAATGTCACATGCTTGTGCCTAAGTAGGATCTTGCAATTAGCAAAAATTCCAGGGCAAATTTGGGCTCACCACTAGTTTTGTCGATTGAATTACCCACAAGCACTTTTGCCAGGTGCCAAAGGGTCAGGGCCCAGGAATCCATTTCTTCCTTTCTCCTAATTTTTTTTTTTTTTTTTTTTTTTT